CTTACTTCTAATCTTTAAAAAGAACTTCAACAGGCGTCTCAGTAGTATTATTATTCTAATGGTGTGTCTTGTCCGGTCTGAAAAGGGTTTTCTAGACCACATTAATTGTCCATAATGCCTGCCTCACAATCTGAAATGCATTGCTTCTATAAAGGAATCTTTGCTGTTGAGACTAATGGCATTGACAAAGTTTGTGCTCCAAAGATAAAATAAAGTTGTTTTCCTTATGTAGCATTTTGCCTTAGTTTGGCATTTTATTTGCAATATCTAGATGAATTTGTGCATCTCATTTAATATTTTCTTTTGGCTAATTCATGAATCAGTGCACCAAGCCAATATAGGCAACTGAGTTAATCCAGTAAATTACACGATAATTTGTGGTGTGAACAGAGCCATAGTTTCCTAGCATTATTCAAACTAGGGATCTTGTTCACTATTTGTTATGGGAATGTAATGTTCTGAATAACAGCATAAAGTCTACCATTTTGATCATCTCCTCATTTACCCCAACTCCATCGAGTTCATGAATTAGTCAATTTCAGTAGTAGTGTCCTCACTGCCAAAAGTGAACTGTGAATCTGGAAAACCTAGCTGTGGGGCTGACCACAACCATTTCCTAGTAAATTTTGCTCAGGGTTTTTCCCTGGATGTAATTTAACTTTCCAAAAATTAAAATAAGATCGCTTACCCTTAAATGGCAAGACACTGAGCAATGACTCAGCCAGTAAGGAAGCAATGTATTCAATAAACTGCCAGGTATCCTGTGACTCTTACAAAGGCCTCAAGCACTCTGGATGATTTACCCTATAATCAGCTTTCCCATGGAAAATTACCATCCTCTAAATTTCTGGACCATTCTGCATATTAATGTGGACAGTTCTTAGCCATTGGAAGTATAGGTCAAGTTATTAGACAAATCATGTATTGTTTAATTGATTGGCTGACTGACCTAATTATCTAGGGAGGGGAATAATCAGGAAAATTGTATGAACAAATTATGTATGGATATATGTATGTATGTATGTGGTCCTATTCCTACGTTTGGGTTTTGTAGATCCTACTTGATGTGTAATTTTCTTGGTACTGTAAAATACAAAGTGATTTACCATTGCCTTCTCCTAAATAATGAACTTTTCTATTGTCACAAAAGAGATTTTCAATTGCTAGCATCTTCCTATATATTGGGCAGCTAGAATGACCTCTACACTTTGGATGGCCCTGCTAGGATTATATAATCTTGGAAGATACATCTGGCATTCTTCACTCATTTTTCCTAAGAATCACTCTCCCGGACAAAGCAAAGCAGGATTTGGAAGGGATGGGGATATAAAGTAAGGTCTAAAGAAGCCCAGTTCCAGGAAAGTGGGGGTATATGCATACATATATGAAGCTGCCCTCAAAGACCACTTAGAAACTACAGCTAGTCCAGAGTGCAGTAGCACAGGCCATGGTCTGTCATGTTATGCCCATGTGGCATCCCTGCTTGTTAAGCTGCACTGATTGCCATTGGGCTTCCAGCAACAATTCAAGGTACTCGTTTTTGAGGGGATGTTGTTAAAAATGTGCCTGTGCTCCCATGCTTTGAATTAGGGTGAACACTGAGCTTCTGTTAGTTTTTTTTTTCTGGTTTGGGGTATCTTTGGTTGGTCTCAGCATGGTAAAAAAATGGGGACTATGAATGAATATAAAGAAAACCAGCTAATGATAAAAGCCAGCCTTAGAACTGACAGTTAACGTTAGGGTATTTAATTTAATAGCTGGAACAGTTAAGTGGATAATGGGCCAGAACACACAGTGATAGTTGATTGGTTGGAGAGTGTGGGTTCCTGCATGAGGCAATCTACGTTATGATTGGTTGCTGGATGTAAAGGGGGAGTTTCCTTTTTGCCCCGCCTTTTTCTTTGATGTGCCTGACTATCTTTCTGCTGTATAGATGTAAAATATATTTATTTATATAATACTACAAGTTCATGTCAGCATCTCTGACTTCATTTGGATACCTGCTGCACAATTCCCTGACAGTGAAAATACTGAAGTGGTGTATAGCTTCTGCTTCTGAGAGTCAACCATCTACAATAAAGGAAGTAGCAGTCAAGAAACATGCACAGATTAGCACTTGGTACAACAGCAATGAAAGGCTTTGAAAATATATTCCGATGTTTGGATGTACATATATCTACAAATATTAGAACTATGCAGGAAATGCTTTTCCCTGTCATAGTTTATTGAAGCAAAAGTTGGAAGAATCAGGATAAAAAGAGTATTGATGTTTTTGAACTCTGAGAGTACCATAGTCACCCAAAAACCAAAACCAAATGGATCAGTGAAGAAATCAATCCAAAGTTCTCACTCAAGGAACAAATGATCAAGTTCAAATTATTCTACTATGGGCATATTGTGCAAAGACCTAGCTCTCTGGAGAAGTCTACCATGGTGGGAAAGTTGGAAGGGGGGTGGAAAGGATGACTAGGAACAAAAGTGATTAGTGAACCAGGAGAAAGACAGATCATCATGGAGAAAACCTGTGGTCACCGAGAGTTAACAGTGACTTGATAGAACATAATCAATCAGATCCTATTTGGTGGTGGTGAAATGCTATTGAACCTCTTTCGCAGTGTTGGGCTATTGGGTACCTCCCATGCAGCCATTGACAGTAGTAGATGGCCCAATTATCTTAAGTTATAACCAGCATCTTCTTATGGTCTTTTGGTTCTTATGGTCTTTGGTGATGACCTACTAAACAGAGAATTTTTGTATACAGTATTGTTGAACACCATGACACCATCACTCCCTAAATTTGGAAACATGACTCTTCTTCAGCTGACAAAGATGTGTGAGAGAATCTGTGTGTGAGAGAGAGAGCGTGGGAGTGCAAAAAATCAACATTAGTTTTAGAAGAGACGTGGAAAAATTAAAGTTGTCCATTTCATAGTGGAGAATATATTTACTGCTGAATGGAGAACAAAATCAATTTATCACCTATGACATCCTTAATGTCATGAAAAGAAACTGTGTCATAAATTTGGCTATCTGGATTGCCACATGATTCTCTGCATAGCATCATGTTAACCAAGTGTGTTGTTTTCATGGGTTAGGAAGCTAATAGTTTCAAACTGGGTGATTGTTCAATGCCTAGCCAATGGCTTTTGCAGCTTTCCAGTTTTCTTTAGTGAAGAGCCCAACAATCCACACTGGTGCCTTCCAATAAGAGTTAATGTGTTCTATCTATTGCTGAACACTTTGGTTCCTTAGGCAAGTGGGCATTCCCACCCCCCAGCCAAGCATAGCTAGCAGGATTGGAAGACCAAGAGCTAGGAATATTTGCCACATTTTGGCTGCCCCTGCTATTTTTGTAGATTCACGGTCTCTGCCTTTGCCCTTTTCTTATCTCCAATTCCAAGCCCATTTGGAGATATTTGATTAGGATTAAAATGGTGGAGAGTTTTCAGGAGGTACAAGTCTGAGTGAGTTACAACTCCAAATGGTAAGTCAAGTTGCAAGGGGGTTCCTGCCATCTGACTCTTCGGGAATAAGTAATGGGCAGTGAGGGAGTTGAAGTCAGCTCAAGTATTAGCGCAAAATAAAGCAAGGGAAGATAGGATATAACTGTTGTCTTGTTTGTCTGCTGCTCATTGATTTTGCCAGGAGACATCACTGCCCCTCATCAAAGTTACAGTCTCAGTTCTAGTAATTACTGGCCATTGAATGTCATTGTCATGACCTGCTGTTCACTGTCAAGAACCAGGCTACACAGCCTTTAGGAGCAATATGGCCTCTTAGCATAACTCAAGCAGCACTGTAGCTGTTTCAGGGGGAAAAAGGTTATATACATAACAAAAACCCAGCAATTTCAGCAGGGGAAAAAGAATGAGATATTTTGTCTTGCATTCCGCTTTAACAGAGGAATAACCACACATTAATTCTCCTTCCCCAAACATGTGGAGAATGAAGAAAACAGAGAGAAAGGGAGGAAGTCTGGGATTTTCTCTTGCCCATGTCCCTAGCACCAGTGCCAACCCCAGGGCTCAGGAATTATATTGGCCACAGATGTGTCACAAGGTACAATTTAAAAAAAAAATCAACAGGTCATTCATTACTGACTCATTGAAGCTCCTCCTGTTTTATGTGTAAGGTATATTTAATTGTTGCAGCTGCCATCTTGACTTTTTTGACCATACAGCACTCTGCAGCTGCTTCTGGTTGGTCAATTCAATCTATCCTATCTGACCTGTGACACACAAGCTTCTTTGAAAATTCTGTTCACACGTAGGTCCCGATTCTTCAGAACATGGTGCAACTTTCAAAACACTCACAGAGGTACCCTGTTCGGGATTACATTACACATTTATTTGCCACATTCCTGGTGATCCTGTGCAAAGGGCATTTTAGAGTCACACCAATACACACCTTTTCTTTTTTGGAAAAGCAGAGGTGGCAAACAGAGACGTTTGATCTACCCAGGAAGCTCTTGGTTCATATAGTGTCAGAGAAATCAAATTTATTTCCATAATGGAAAAAGAAGAATGAATTCAAAGCTGCGTTTCTATGCAATTGTGCCACCAACGCGGGAGAGGGGATATTTTGAGGGGCAAAGTCAGTTTCGTTGTAAGGTATGGAATGGTTCCGCTTGCAAACTTTCATTCTGGAGAAAAGAACGTGAGAAAGTTCCCTCGTTCCGAAGTAGAAGTGAGCGCGGAGGCCGCCCTCTCCGCGCTGGGAATACCCCCTCCTCTCCCCCCGATGCTTTCAGGAGAGCAGCGGTTCGCGCGGAAGTTGCAAGGGCAACCCCGGCTCGTCTGGAGTCTGGCGGCGATATCGAGGACGGGCGGGTCGGTCGGGGGAGTGGGGACGGCAGAAGGTGGTGCTTAATCTTCGCCCGCCCGCCCAGCTCCTTTCCTTTCCCACTGAGGAGCGGCCGCTCCGCCAGTTCACCGCGATGATGGACGAGGCGGGCCCTGGAAGCACGCGGCCGACCCCGCTCTTCTACAACAAGGGACAGGGGGCGTCGGTTCCGTCGCCCTTGGGCGACGGCCCGGCCATCTCGGCGGTCATGTTCACAGCCGGCGTGGTCGGCAACCTGACGGCGCTGGTGCTGCTGCTACTGGCGCGGCGCCGTCGGCTGGCGCGGCGGGAGCGCCTGGCGCCTTTCCACGTGCTGCTGATGGCGCTGGTGTTGACCGACCTGCTGGGCACTTGCCTGCTCAGCCCGGTGGTGCTGGCGGCCTACGGTCAACAACGCAAGCTGTTACAGCTGGACTGGCGCCTCTGCGACTACTTCGCCTTCTCCATGAGTTTCTTCAGCTTGGCCACCATGAGCTGCCTGGGCGCCATGGCGCTTGAGCGCAGCCTGGGCATGGCCGCGCCGTACCTATACGAGCGGCTGCTGAGCGGGCGGCCCCTGGCGCTGCTGCTGGGAGCCCTGGCCGCCCTCTACGGCCTGGCCGCCGCCTTCTGCGCCCTGCCGCTGATGGGCTTCGGCAGCTACAAGGACTACCAGCCGGGCACGTGGTGTTTCATTCACATGCGCCCGGAGGGCAGAGCCGGCGCCTTTGCGCTGCTCTACGCTTCGGTGGTGCTGCTGCTCTTCCTAGCCGTCCTGTTGGGCAACCTGGTGGTCATGGTCAGCCTCTGCCGCATGTACCTGAGGCGGGCGCACACCGGCCTGCCCGGTGCCTGCCGAGGCCCCACGCTGGGCGCTCAGCTGCGCGCTTGCCGCCAGCCGGAGTCTCGCGGGGAACGCGTTCAGAGGGCCCGGAGACCCTTCTCCATGTCCGAGGAGCTGGATCACCTCATCCTGCTGTCCATCATGACCATCATCTTTGCCGTCTGCTCCCTGCCTTTTACGGTGAGTCCCGGCGCAGTTCGAGCGAAACTGGAGCTTGAAACGGCGGCCTGGCCTGGCCTGGCCTTTGGCTGGAGTAAGTTGTGCTGAAAAGCAGCAGGAAAAAAAAGGGTACCATCGCTTTTCTCTACCTGGCGCCCTTCGGGTACCCTGGGCTACATCCATTTTAAGCATCCTGGCAAAGGATGATTGGATCTGTAGTCCGGCACAACTGAAGACTGCTGGGTGGAGGAAAAGGAGACACACAGACTTAATTTGCTTTTTCTTTTTTTTTTTACATATAATGAAAAAAGGAAAGAAGCCCTGCGAGTGAGCTCAGCCCCTGATGGCTACCATATTGGGGACCATCCATGCCATGGTCATGGCAGCATTGCAGAAGTGGTGCACTGTTGTCTCCTCTGGGAAAAAATTTCAACTTCCCAGTGAAGACTACCGCTGATTTATTTATTTTTATTTGTTTGTTTGTCAAACATGTACAAGATAGCAGGTATAGGTATAAACATAAATAAAGGAAGTAAGTACAGATAAATGGGGACAGTGACAGGGATGGTAAGGCACATTGGTGCGCTTATGCACGCCCCCTTTACGGACCTCTTAGGAATGGGCTGAGTCCACAGTAGACAGTTTGAGGTTGAAGCTGTGAGGGTTTGATGCTGTCACATGGTCTCATGTAAAATGGTCTCCCATCCAAGAAATAAGATGCCCAACGCTAATTAATTTCTGAATCAAGGGAAGTACAGCCTGGTGCTGTTGCCTGGCCAATCTTGACTACCTTGAGTAACACTAAAAAAGATCCAATTTTGATAGACCACAAGAAAATATTGAGAGTATTGTTTGGCATGCAAGTTGAAAAGGTGCGGTAATGGGAAATAATTCTTCCATTGTTGGCAAAAAATTATATAGATGGGTCCACATATTTACCAGGACCAACTCAAGGGAGAGTCCATCTTACAAGGTGACTCAGTGTTTAACACTGAGTGACCTTGTAGGAGAGACCATAGCTCTCCAATAGAACATTTTTAAAGAGACAGTCATCCCAACTTAAACTGCCCTGCTTAAGCAAGCAGGCAGGCAGGTGGTGGAGAAGAAGTTTGAGTCTGTCCAAGAGCAAGCAAAGGCTATATCATTTCAACCCAACCAATATCTGAGTCACAAGAGAGCTTTTACTTATCTGGTGATACCCTCTTCTGAATGTGCTGGACATCAATGACAGTCATCCCTTTATCAACACATTCAATGATCATCCTGACTAGGTATGATAGAAATCCCCATGACCGGAGTATGCAAGCGTGGTGAGAACTGTCATCAACATACCCACAGCACAGGTTAAATTATATATTTGGGGGCTAAAAAGCTTGCTCATAGTAGGGCATTTTACAAGGTTCTTGCGTAGCCAGGGTATGCAAAACCAATCCTGAACTGAAACATCAGAAGTGGATGTAGCAATGTGACTTAGGCTGTGCATATTCTGATGGAATTACACAAAGGGGACAGGAGATTGAATGGGTGCTTCTGTTAATGAACTAAATATTTACTAAATGATCTTAGGCTATGTTTACTCATGGTTGAAGGAATAATGGTTGTAGTACCGTATTTCCCCATGTATAAGCACCCCCTTTGTATAAGCCACCCCCCCAATTTTTGGACTGTGAAGTTTTGAAAAAAATATTTTATTAGAGAAACAAGTTATGAAGAAAGAAAATTTACAAAGAAACAAAATTCGACGTCTAGATCTACAACTTCGGTCATGACGCCGAAAGCGGTGCGGGCGACACTAGCAATCTACGCATCGGAACGAGAGTAGGAACGAAGCATTCAGGCCGATGCCTAGCGTATGCATTTCTATCGCGTACTCGCACTCGTAATCGTATCATCACGTACAATTTTTACAAAAAAGTATAGCATACTGCTGGAAAACCAGTTTATTCCTACTTTATTATTTTATGCATTTTTCACGTATAAAAAGTGTACCTGCTTTGTATATGCCACCCCCCTACTTTTTGGGCTTGAAAATTTTGGAAAAAAGGGGTGGCTTATACATGGGGAAATACGGTAGTTAACTCAATTTTCTGAGTACACCTGGCATACTGAATCATAAACTGCAGAAAGGCTGGGTTTGCCTGATTAAAATGTGGTGGTCTAGTTTGTGGCACAATGTGTGCAGGTGCAAAGGCTTTCATGTCACTGACTTCAGCATTGTGGATAGGAGTGGATGACTGAAGCCCTGCACCTTTCTGTGTGCGAGCAATATGTGTTAAAAAGGGACACGCAAGTTGAAAAAGTGCAATAATGGGTCTTTGGTTGCCCAGGTGCAATTACCATTTTTATGCTAGTGACCACCTTAGCAGATGCTCCTAAAGAGAATATCAACTCTTCGAGGTAGATCAGGTAAGGAAGCAAACGCTACGAGAAATACTAGCTTGTTATTGATAAAGGATAAAATATAGAACCATAAAATCTGCAGCATTTCTCCTTCCCTCCCTCTTACACCAAAGAAAGCCGAAGCAGAACACTTTCTAATTTCTTTCTGATACCTTCCTGTTTTCATCAGCTAACTTCATGTCTTCACAACAATTCTTGCTTATTTAAGACCATTTCCAAACTCCTCTTCAGGTGAACTAACTAACTGTGAAGAGGCAACAGAGGCATTTGAAATGCAGAAGTTTCTTGCAGCTGTTCCTCCTATTTTTGCAGCTGGTAGACAAGCTAGTTTCCAGAATGTTGATCAGAAAAGCTTGGTGCGCAGTTAGAACTTAGTTTTCAGCAACCAGATACTGTTGTTTTACAAAAACAGGACATCCTGCAACTGTCATATCCTCCAACTGTCACCTATAAAGTGGGGGAAACCACTTTGTTGAGTATGCACAATTCTTGCAATAATTGTTCAACGTGATGAACAAAGTAATCCTTCTTAAGTGGTAATGATAACCATTTGTTGGGCAACTTTTCTCTCCCTATTCAGTGACCTGCATGAAAATTGGATTACAATAACCATCCAGCCAGGTAATAATACCTGCCTAATCGTCATAGATCTGAAAAATCCAAATAGCAAAGATCAATTAGTACTTGGATGAGAGACCAGCAGGAAACAACAGGGCTATATATACTAACTGAGAAGTTTAAACCTCTCAGAAGAAAAAGCAAATCCTATCTTATAGTTGCTAAAAAGACTACGCATCCATGAAATCATCAGGAGCTGGCCACAACTCAAAGGAATCTCTCTACCTCTTTGTCACCATAGTGATTGCCCATGTTGGCTAGTGACGATGGAAGGTATTATCAGATTTCTGAACATCAAGTAAGCAAGGGCTGACCTAAAGTTTCATTTGGCTTAAAGGTTCTTAAAACAGGACACTATTTTATAGAACACTATAAAATGTGGATAGAGGAGACAAATTGTGTGTAATGTTGCCAAGACAAACAGGGAGATCAGATAACTGAGGAAGGCACCCGTCATTCAGTATAAAACACCTATTTCACATGCAAAAGATCCCAGTTTTACTTTCTGGCCTTTCCAATGAGAGCAAAAGTAGGCAATTTCTCTCTCTCTCTCTCTCTCTCTCTCTCTCTCTCTCTCTCTCTCACACACACACACACACACACACACATACACATCCATACAGAGAACCCAGCTCCAACTTTCTGGCTTGTTTCAGGTGCTTAAGATGCTGGCAACAAGCAAACCATCCAAAAATCCAATGAGAATAAAGCATTTTAATGACTCTTAGAATGAATTTTATATGATACTTAGTGAGGTTAATGTTTTAATCTTTTCAAATAAATATGCAACAAGCATTGCAGTTTTAGTGTCTATGTTTTATTGGAGGACATGCTAAAGCTAAAATGATACCAAAATGTTCCCAGACCACACAGAATTTTTAACATGATTTTTATTAGAAGGCCACAGATAAAAAAATAGCAAATAATTTTGAGTCAAGATATATGACGTTACTGCATGACCTTCCTTTCTTTTGCTGGATGATGTGGCTATGTTTACAGAACTCCACGTCACAGCTGTGTGATAGACTTATACATTCAGTCAGCCAAGAAAGGGCTCATTGTTGTACATCCTGGACTGATAAGAGTAAAACCAATTCTCAGAAAAGAGAATTGCCAACCAGGGTACAGAAATATTGGTCTCACTTGAATTCAAGACAAAATATACTTTAAATGAAATGCACATTTAACTAAGTTTTTAAATGCAAACAAATGTAAAACCATTGGATGAGATGATAGGCTAGAGGAGAAATGTGTGTGTCTAATTCCAATCATGATCCTCCAAAACTGCCCATCTACCAAGCTGCTTTTCCCCCTGTAGGAGGGCACGTGGCACGTTGAGAACAAAGCAATGAGATGGAAAACATTCCTTCCCAAGAATGTCAATAGAATTAGCCATCATCTTCCAACTAATCGTTCTTAGCGTAAACATTTTCAAACTACGTACTGGCTTTTTCCCATCCAGCTTAGTCAGAGCCTGAGAAGGAACAGCTGATGTATCAAACAGTATAACTGATCACTGGGGGAAAAAAACCTGTTGCCCAGTTTTGAGTATCTGGATCCATTTCATTACATGGTTTTGATTTACTTGTATAACAGGATTAGGAATAGTTTTTAAGAATAGTAAGAAATAGTAGAAAAATGGGGACATGATATCTGAGAAGTTTCCAAGTTATGTTACTTTCTGTACTTACTGTAAATGAATGTGTTGTAGATGCAAAGAAAAATTACTGAATTTCACATCCTGAGAATAACTTGTTAACAAGGAAATGGAAGAAGTTTCCAGTTCTCATGGCTGTGAAGAGTAAAAATCTGTGGCTTCTCTAATTTTGGAAGCCTTGCAGTACCATGTGTAATGATGAACATACACTGTATGTCATCTAAATTAAGTCCTATAAAATCTAATTTGAAAGTAAAACTGTTGATCTTACTGGAATTTATTATGGAAAAAATCATATTATCCTTTAAAAGCAGTTGTGATATTCAATTTGTTACAGACCAGATACCTTTATTGTTATTTTTAGGGCTCTGTGAATATTCTATTAGGAAATATCATTAAAAGACAATGCAGCTGAATCTCTGAATCAAAGTAATATATTGTATTGGAAAATTGATTCAAGACATTAAATTAAACAAAATGTGTCTGAATCATTGATATATTTGAATATTTGTACATTCTGCATTATTTCAGAATAAATCTTTGCAAAAGATATATTTTGAATTGATTCAGGAGTCTGAATTAAATGCCATCAATTTGCTCAGTCACACTGAACATTCAGATTAAATTTTACCTAGTTTGCAAAGGAGTAATATTTTATTCAAGTACAGAACAAACTGGGTTTTATTTTAATCTTTGTGGTATCCGGCTGTTTTTATTTTCCTGCTTAATGGGGTCTAATTCTCAGAGACTGACTGAACAAATCCCTGCAATTTTGTTGAGAAGGCTTTTCAGAAGTGGTTTGCCATTGCTTCTTTCATCGGGCTGAGAGAAAGTGACAGGCCCAAGATCATTCGGCTAGTGTCATGCCCAAGGCCGGACTAGAACTCACAGCATCTCAGTTTCTAGCCTTCTAGACCCTAAGGCAGTGTTTCTCAACCTTGACAACTTTAAGATGGGTGGAGTTCAGGCTGGCTGAGGAATTCTGGGAGTTGAAGTTCATACATCTTAAAATTGCCACAGTTGAGAAATCCTGTCTTAAGGAACACTGCTCTAAATTTTACAGTACTGTCTCTAATCCCACAGGGTCTGTTGTAGCAGATAGCCTTTGTGCATTTGTTTAGACTTTTTTGAAGCCATCAAAACTGTACCATGACTATAATTTGGGCAGTCAGTAGTGAGAACTTATAAATACATAATTAATGCCATCCTAAGAGTATTAGTGACCAATTCATTGCTCCTAATCTTTCTGCAAACACATAGAACCATGGGGTGGGGGATTTAAAATGGTGCAGGTGAAAGAGAAACTATTCAATGTATGGCATTCCAAAAAGTTCTGGCAAGCATTAAATTGGAGGTGAGATTCTGTTTGGGTGGATAGTGAGGACAAAAAGTGTTTGCAAGACCCAGATTTCATCACTCACTTCCACGCAGTCTATGTTCATGGGCCAGGTCTTTCTAGTCTGGTCAGGGGAACAGCTGTGTTTCTCAGCAGCTTCCTCCCAGCATCATTTATTTAGAGACATATTGCTTTTGGACAGGGGAATTCCATTTAGTTTTCTTACCTAATAGAAAGGGGGTGGGGTTTTTAGAATTGTTCGTTCATGACCTTTTGCTGGAGGAGGATTTCTACCATACTAAGCCAGGATGACAACTCAGCATGGGGTATCAGAGAGTTCACCATATCTTTTGGAATAATCATATTGTAGATGTGGTATAAATATGGCCAGATAGACTAGGAAGGAAATGTGAATGAATAGTCATGAGAGATGCCAATCTCTCTCTGTGTGTGTAAGATGAGTGACTCTATAAATGTGATAATAAATACAAATAAATACATGTACACATGCAAAAAATTAGCCATTTTTTGGAGTGATAATTCAAATAAAATTATCCTTGTGAGGTCCTGCTGCTCTCTGAACACCAACTAGAGGAACACATCCATCAACATCAACTAGCAGTTAGAAGATACAGTGAAAAACTCCTTAATTCCACAACACATGGATAGACTTGAACTGGAATCTGAACATCTTAGGCCAAGGCAAGTCCAGAAACACTAGAGAATTCCTGGAAACCTAGCACCCACATAAATTGACCATCAGCAGACCCATACAGATTAACAACATCTACCACTCAAGAAAGAATCACAAAGTCAAAAGAAAAAGACCATAACACCTCCTCATCAACAATCAACCCTGAGATGGGTCAAGATTAACCCCAAGATTAACAGTACACAACAGCCAAGAAGTAAACAATAACCTAATCAAGGAACTACTAATGTAGACAAACAAGTTAACTGTAAACAGCCTAATCAAGGAGCCATCAAGAACACTACCACCAACATTGAAAGGATAAGGCACTACCAGTAGTATATAAAATGAGGGCAAATCCCACTCCCTTCTAGCACTGATGATGTTACCCAGTTTGGTAATGAAATGTCGGCAAGAAAACAGCCAAGTTTAGTGACCACCAAGGACCCCACAGTTCAACCCTGAGCTACAAATGTTCTCTTCCTTTTTCTATATAGGAGTCAGCAGCTCTAATTAAAATATTCCATTCTACCAATTGACTAAGGGAAAGCAAGGAGAGAACAGCATCATATGCGAGCATACTTTTAGGATTTATCTACCTAGTGAGAATTGTGAAAACTTGCCTTGGGCAGGAGATAAACAGAACCTGTAAGGAAGCTGACAGATATAATGTAATTAGCCCAAGACATGCTGAGATCTGTTTTTGAATTTCAAACCAATACCGGTATATACACAGCTAAGCTAAGAGGCCTGCATGATGCTACTTTGCTAGCCATTAATGCAGGAAATACTTTCTATAATTATGGAAGTAGCAGTGGGTCTTGACTTGGACTATAGTATAAAGTTTACTAGAAGATTGCAGCCAGCCAATAGGGGAAATATCCAAAGTTCTCTCGCTTAGATAAAGAAAATTATATATGGGTTGGTAATTTGGGTTCGTTCTTTCTTTCTTTTTTCTCTTTCTCTCTCTCTCTTTCTTTTTCTGATTCAGCTTCCTTTTCCCTGACTGTAGCTTGCTGTATTTTCTCTTCCTTTGTAACCATTACTCTCATTCTTCAAATATGTCAATTAGATACAACCCAGATATCACACAGATATTGGTAATATGCAGCTTTTTTGTACTTGCTCAGTTGTTGGCTAGGAAATTGGGAGAACTGAGAGTACCAAATCAGGGGAAATCAGGATGGGTAGGATTACAGTGGCCATAATTTCCAGGATGGAAGTGATAAGGAGAAGAATTGTGTGGACATCTGTAGGTGGGGGACTGCGGATAATATGATTCAGAGAGTTTATGTTTCAAAGGTTGCTTCTGCCATGAGCTTATCAGTGACAATACAAGGACATTGTATGAAAAATTAGATTAATCTAATTCACTTCTGTTGCTCAACTGTAGCTGTAATGCTAAATCACATACCTGGCAATTAATCCCACTGGACTTGTAGATAAAATGATATATTTTATACATATACTTAATTTACAAAAAGAATTGCATGAGAAAGGGCTCATAAACCTTTAAGTTTTAGACAGTTACTAAATATCTGTTTTGATTTAATGTTTTGTCTTTTCAGATCCACGCTTTTATGAACCATTTTAGTAAAGACTATCAAGAAAAGGATCTTCTAGTAGCGATGCGGTTTCTATCTGTTAATTCCATTGTGAACCCCTGGGCGTTTGTCATCCTGAGACCACCTGTCCTTCGGTTACTGCGATCCATACCGTGCTGTCAGATACCCTTAAAATCACAACCAAACAATAGGCAGATGCCTGTGGAACAGATGGACAGTTGCAGACAATAGAGTACAGACTCAGAGAAGGCATTCAGGTGCCCATTTCTCACGGCTCCTCAGGGAAAATATGGAACTGCGACTGAAATTGTAGCATGAACTCATTTCCTGGGGTCAAAACTCAGTTATAGCTTCCATGATTCCGAGCTGTGTTCTTGTTCATCAGAAGGAGACCTGAGAGGATTCTCCAAATTCACTCAATCCTAAATATTCCCAATCTAACTGCAAGACAACAATGGGCTCAAGAAGCAGATTGGAAGGAACTGCCTTTTGCCAATCCTGGCAATCCTTTATCTTGCTCTATCTTGTTGCAGTGTTCAAGGAAGCTCACAATATTTCAGGCTGGGATTTTTCCCAGTTCTACCTGAAGAGTGTCCACAGAAACGATCGAAAAAGTCAAGATGGTGGCTCCGATGATCTTTTTTCATGAGTGTCACATCTACAGAGCTTCAATCGCACTGATGCAGAAATATCTTGATTTGTTTGACCATAAACCATGATCATCTCTTGTGCTTTCTCTCCAAGAGTGGTGCAACATCTAGAGAGAAAGATAATTAAGGACGCACACTATGCATGGGCCTGGGACCCCAGAAAAACTTAGGATGTAAAGTTGTCACTGAACTGCATGTTTTACATCTACCAAAGAAGGGAAAACAATTCAATACTTAACTTATTAATTAAGCAACTTATTTAATTTATTCTTTAATTGCACATAGATGAAATAAAATAATCAATTTTTTTAAAATCCTGACTCAGCTTTTTGTGGGTCGGGGGGAGTACCCCATATAGGCCAAAGCTGACCTTTGTCGTGAAAAGCTATGGTCCCTTATAATAGCATTTGGATTTTTGATTAACACTTGGGTTTTTTTAAAAAAATAAACCTTGGGATACACTAACTGGGCTGCAGACATCCAGATGAATACTTGATGGAACAAAGATATTTTTGTGTATTTGTCAGCTATCTAGTAATTTTTTTATTTTTTTCATCTCAGATATGATAGCGCTTAGTTGTTTGTACAGTGTGATCATAGAGTGAATATGACATCCGTGACATTAAAAAAAAACAGATGGTATTTCACTGCCATCTTCACTTTATGATCACACCTTGCAGACATCCCTGATATCTCTAGCAAAGTTTTACTGTATTCCTTTCATTTTCACATTTCTATTACCTCTCCCTGCATTTAAATAGTTCAGAAATAAGACCCATTCAATCCAATGGGGTTTATTGCCAGATATATGAGTTCAGCATTACAGCAAGCGTTAAACAAATGATCAATCGGGTCTGTTTTTCTTAATGAGGAAGACAAATTACCCTGAGTCATTAAGTCAATGCTGTGAGTTTATATGTGTTTTGCCCAGAGTATGCATAAGCCACTTGTATATCAAATCAAATATAAGCTAACATAGAATTTGCTTCTTTTCTACAATCATAAAGAATTAATGATATTAATGAAATCATGATCAAACAAAACATCAGTAAGTGTACTGACAAAACCTAATCAGCATTTGTGGCTCATAACAACTGACCCATTTATTGTAGCATAAAAGTTTTATGAACTGCAGGCCACCCCATCAAATATATGAAGTATTATATCAAGGGACCAGTATATATAAATTCCTAATTGAGAGGGGAGAAATGCAAATGGCAAGGCTAATGAGAATATATCATAGATACTCTTCATAAAAGTTATTTATTGACATTGGATATTTACAAAATAGATGCAGAGAGAGATGTGTATTGATGAGTTAATTTATACAAATAGTGTGTGGGGTTGTTTTTTTTAAAGAAATCTATTCTGCTTTATTCAAGTCACGGGGCATGGAATGAGCCAGATGTGTAAAAGTAATCATTATGCGAGGTAATGGAATAACATTTTTCTAATAAAAAGTTGTCTTCACAATTTTAATTGTGCCTCTGTTCTTATCTGTAGCACATCTGACTCAATTTTATACACTTCTTTGGAGGAATGGAATGTTTAATAAAACAATCGTAAAGTTCAGTGCTCTGGCAAAAAGACCACAACAATCATCGTGTTATATTTTACTTTATTTAGTAAAGTAAAGATTTTAATAGTTTTTTTAAAAAAAAAATCAATGGAAATATATTACAGTAATCTAGAATGTCTGCAGCACATCTAACTTTTTCTTTGCATTAGGATATATCAATAGATTTTGGATTCCATTTTGGGGCATTTTAAGTCCTAAAGGCTGGTGAGAAGCCAAATTAAGTCTTCTTCAAATCAAGTTTTATGCCTGGGAATATCCATGTAATTTTCTTTGAAACAGTTTGGAAATGATGTGCTATTTCCATCTTCCAATTTCTTTTTTTACTTTCCAATTTAGCCTATTGCCCTAATGTTCACTATCCAAGTCTTAATCACACTTGATCAAGCTTTGAGCAATAGTAACAAATTAACAGGTCGAAGTAGAAAAGTCAAATAAAAAACAAGAATTGGAACTGACAGCCCCTTCACTAACCAGTAGAGTTGATAAATAAATGTCACATAACCACTGAGTTACCTCAGCTATGGATGTGTTTGATAAGCAAATAATTACAGAATGTTAAGCACAGCATCATGTGACCATGATTTATGACTTCCTGATGGCTTCCACATTGACTTCACTTGTTAGAAGCTAGCTGTGAAGGTTACAAAAGGCAATTTACATGACTATACAAATGCCCATTGGTTGCAAAGTGTCCACATGGATGCTGCAATTGCCATAACTTTGAGGACAGCCTATAAGCTTCCTTTAGCTCCCTTATAACCTCAAATGGTCAGTAAGCGGGGGGCTACGTGTATTCCCAACATCCAGTCTATGCCTTTCATCACTGTATAACATAATTGATAGTAACTCACATTTTTGTTTATTTTCAATAAACCAGTTCCTTCCTTTGAACATAAAGAGTACTTTAGGGGGAAGGAATTTCTATAATGACCCCGTTGGGTGGGCCAGCATTACTATTCCTGTTAAATTATGTGTGCTTCGAAAATGCTTGAGGAATACTTCCGACCTCACTTGGGCACAGCACCATGCAGCTAGCTATTCATTAAAGCAGACTCTCTTTTCTCAGGCTTCTCTGCCAGCCTAAGATTGGTGTGGCTGTTTTAAGAACTATCTTTCCATAAAGTACAAAGCACTTCAAAATCGTTTTTAAAAGGTTCAGAGTTCTACCTTTAAAAAAGAGAACCAGTTTGGTGTGAACCAGACTGTGAGTTCTAGTCCCCACTTAATCCTGAAAATTGGCTGGGTGGCGTGGCTTTGAGCCAATCACCAGGAAACTGGGAATTCTAGGCCCATGTGAGGCATGAAAGCCAGTTGGGCGGCTTTGAGCCAGATACTCTCTCAGCCCAATCCATGCCATAGGATTGTTGTGGGGAAAATAGGAAGAGGAAAGCATAGTAGGAATGTTAATTACCTTGAGTTACTTATAAAGTAATAAAGGTGGGAGAAATATCTAATAAATAAAAATAAAAGTGGCAGAAAGATGATCCCAGAAGATTAGCATCTCTGGGGCCAGTGATATTACAATTCTAGACTGAAAAAATACTTCTAGGTAGATGTGTTTGGCTTTGTTCTGTTATCAAGCTCATGGGAATTAGGAGATTTTGATTGAAGTGTGTACTGATACCACTTGCTATAAAATAATGCTAAGATACTGTATTTCCCCTACTAAATAGAAAAATAAAACTCAAAAGAGCGTTTATTTTTTTCTCATTGAAAAGGAACTAAATTTTCCTTCTCAACAAATGTGGAAAAACAAGATGCTTTTTTAAAAAAATTAAAACTTCCTGATGTTTATCAAACATTAACAATCTGTTAGAATGTAACACAAAGCTTAAAACAGAATTTTCCTCACTTAATGGCATATTTGTGTTCAGGAATATAAAGTTTAGAACAGTGTTTTTCAAACTTAGGAACTTTAATAAGTGTGAACATCATGGTGGCCTGGGGAATTCTGGGAGCTGAAGTCTACACATCTTAAAGTTCCCAAGTCTGAGAAACACTGGTTTAAAAGGAATTTTCTTGTAAAATAAAACCTCTATTCAGGATTCCAAAGGCAGGTTTCTTTTCATAAATTTGAGATAAACCATACGTTTATAAGGCCTTCTTGAATACTTTTGACATTATTTCTGAGAAAATGTACATAGGCTTTGACAAATTGTAACTTTAAAACCCATTTCTCAAGAAGCTTGGATATTACAGTAGACTATATAAACATTAACAGTTGTATACTTTGACTACAGTAAACTTCCTTGCAGTTTGTCACTTCTTTAAAATCAAGTCATTAATCCATCACAGTTTGCAATACTGTCTGTATGCGGTGATAGCAAAACATTTGACTCTCTTCCAAAATCTACAGGATGTATGCTGGCCTTTTGAATAAAAGTGGGATGAGACGGTAGCATATTGTGCAATGAGTGAAGGAGTGACCTGGCTTGAACAAGAAGATCTGTGTATATATTGTAGGTTGTCTTTGTGATAAGTTTGGTTGAAACTTGGTGGGGGGTGCAATTAAATGGCTTCTCTTTTAGGGGAAATATTCTGCCTTTTTAATATATCCTAAAATATTTCATTTTTCTAGGAGAGGGGTGGATTTTAACTTCCAACAACCCAATGTAAAGAAAGAAAATCTCTGATTCAGTAGCTTTTTTTTAATCAGTCTTCCATAGCCTCAGAACCTATAATGGCATGTAGGAATGACTTTGGGAGACAAGAGTCACAACCAGAAAAACTGTTGGATAAGAGGCATCTTGGTCTACAAAAAGGAACTGGGGCATGGCAAACAACTCGAAAGCAGTCTTCCCTCATTTCTTGGGCTTTAAAAGTGACAGGAGAAGTGTACTTTCAGACTTGTGAAATTCTGTTAATATAACCTTAGAATAAAATAGAATTAATTCATCTGGGTATGCTTCTGGTCTGGACCACCTCACAAGGAAGACAGAACCTTCCAGATATTGGGACCAACTTCCAGCCAATACCCTCAGTGAAAAGAATTCTGACAATTTGCGTGTGGAAGGTACCTAGATAAGGAAAGACTAGTAGATCTCATCAGTGCTCCTATTGATACAGAAAGGAGGTGGGAAAGGGAATTGTGTTTCTACTAGTTGTGACTGAGAGTTTTTGAGATGTTGCTCTCTCAGAAGCTGGGTATTGTGTTTTTATTTATTTATTACATTTCTATGATGCCCATCTCCCCTACAAAGTTACTCAGGGCATTTCTAGTATGACAACATCTGGCGCATATCCAGGCTACACAAAATAGATGTCAATGAACTTATTGATTTAATTAAAGGGCTTTCTGTACACTTTCAATTCTCTTGAAGTCCTGTTCCTCCTATGTATGATGTTTTATCACTTGCAAAATTACAAATGATTATAAATGTAACAAAACGGAGCAGGTAAATATAGTTTGCTATCCTGCCATGTAATCCCTGTGACGTATAAGATGCGTCTGGAGGTGAAAAAGTGGGAACATAGTGAGGAACAAAATAGATACATAGAGATTATCAGGTTAGAGAAGAGGAAGTTGAACTGGGTGAAAGCATAAGCAGAAAGAGAGTGTGTTTGAATTGGAGAGGCAGAGTAGATAAACCAAATGACTGCAGATGAATATAGCAGGTTTGAAGATGGATCAAAGTCCACTCAAGATCTGTGTATTCCTTTTGTGGTTAACCGGCAGCAGGTGAGGACGACTGAGGTGAGTGAGGACTCAGATGAGGGGCCAGGACCATTAGGGAGTAGACTGCTGCCTTCAGAGATTGCGGAGGCTGGCAGCAGTGATGAGGACGTTCCCGAGTAGCCTATGCCAAGTGCGCGTGTGTGCAGGATTGCTCATAGGAGAGAGCAGCTACAACAGCACGGGCGACTCAGGAGTAAGGCTGCAAGGTAATGGCCCCTCCTTCAAGAAGATAAAAGCCAGCCGTGAAACGAACGTATTTTGCAGAAGGCAAAGACGTTTTGAAACTCCAGCCTCGGGGACATTCCAGTATCCTGAGTTTGTATCTGAAGATTCTTGTATTGCAAATTATTTCTTGTCTGTTATCTTTTGGGCAAGTCTCGCACAGTTTGGCAAGGCTTATGCTTATCACAGCTAATTATTTTGCAGAAGCATTACAAGGTTTCTGTTCCCTTTGGATTGTGTTTGATTTGTTGGGAAAGGGCGTGGGTCAGAACAATTTCTGAGTGATGGAAGATTACTAAATGCTCCAACACTGGAAGTTTTTAAGAAGACTTTGGACAACCATTTGTCTGAAATGGTATAGGGTTTCCTGCCTGAGCAAAGAGTTGGACTAGAAGACTCCAAGGTCCCTTCCAACTATTCTATTCTAATTCTGTTCCTAAAGATGGAAATAGCATGACATAGTATTCTGTCTACCCACCACAGAAAACCAGAGGGAGAAAAGGAGCTATAGATTAATGTTCTGATAGAGGCTGCCAATTAAGTCTAACAAAAATCTTTAATTAACTCTAAGGGAATTTAGTACAGCTATGTACATTAAAATAGCTTAAAATAAACTGATTTTCAGAAGATCCATAACTCCACAGGTAGGGAAATAGTTAATCTCACACCGGCAGAGAAATCGGAGTCATAAAGAAATGTAGTATTTTTACTGCATGCTGACCAGCTGTTTGCCATTTACAAAGCTATCTAGTTGTAAAGGTCAAGCTGTCAGAGAAAGTAATGTTGTTTTATTTTGCATTGTTAATTTAAAACATTGAAATAATTCAGAGGAAGGTTTTTGTATGCTATCGATTTGTCTGGCTGATTTTGAAAATCTCTATACTCTCCTACTCCAACAGCAGCAGCAAAATCCAACAGCAAATAGATGTATTTAGGAGAAAAGAAA